GGGATTTGGAATCATTCTTATATCATTTTCTTGTACTGGGCCAGATCCACCAATTTCATGGCTTCACTGTTAAGTACTGAGGCATTTTGACCTGCTATAGGCCTCGAAATAGGTTCGTACCAAGACTGAGGTGATGGTCTTTCATAGTTCTGATTACTAGTTTGACCATTAGAATGTTCATTAACTTGCATAGACTGTTTATCTCTAGTCAATCTTTGTTGAGGGACAGTTAAAACTTCCTCCATGTGTCTTACGTTTGTTGGTTGGTGGTTATTCATTCGATCCAAAAAGGATGTTACCCACCTTTCCACTGTGTTCATTAATTGCTGTCCCATGGCATCTACTAGGCCACCCCATGAATTTATTGGCTGAGTAGATGGAACAGTAGATGGTCCAATTCCTTGGTTTCGTCCAATATTATGAACATGTGGTACTTGTTCTGAAGTGCTAGTCTGTTTGACCATAGGTTCTGATAAAATGAGAGTTTCCACAGGATGTGTTATCACATTATTCTCTAGATTAGGTATCTCTACCTCTCATTCCACGCCTTCTTCCAAACGTTCAATTTCTCCTTGTCTCCTACGTCTAGCCATTTCAATTGGTCCCACTGGGTGTGCCAAAAATATATGTTGGCTTTTTGGCTTTCGAAGGTTAGTTTTGTAATTGCGAGCGTGCCAGCAATGATCAATCAGTCCTTACAAAAAATTAATTGCCAAGCAATTATCAGACGATTGTGTTTTAGTTCATTCAGCCTCAATGAAGAGGACTTTTACTGGTGGCTTGATTTAGGAGAATTAAACAAGATAACAATTAAATGAAGAACAATTTGAAGCATTTCATTAAAATGAAAAACTTACAATGATCCAAACTCAGCCTCGTAGAGGTTTACAGCAATAATCTACTACTTGAAACTACTCCTATGAATGAAGTGCAGTGCAAGAACTTAAAGTACAGGAATGTAAAGAACCGGAAATGTAAGACTGGAAATATAAAACTAAAAAGGAAAATAAGTAGAATAAGACTGGTTTTTTGGATTTGAGTCTGGGGGTTTTTTTGTGGGCCTTCTCTGCTATTTATACTTCTCAAGGATGACCATTGAACTGCATTTCTAACCGTCGAACTACTCCTTCATGATCGCTGATCATGTTGCCTTACAATTAGCTCCACTATGCTGTTACTTGCAGTTAGGATTCCCTCTTAAATTTGAATTTAAATGTGAGTAACCGTTAAAGCCACATCACCTTGCATCTCTTTGTTGATCCACTACTACTCAGATTTTGTAATAACTAATACTAACTGCCACGTGTACGATCAGGATCGAAGACTTAAATAGTTTTCGTGTATTACCCTTATTCTGCCACGCGTTGAATTATAATTGACTTGTATAAAATATGTAGCCAACAAATACCGACATCAATTTCAAGTTGTTATTTGTGTTTATTTTAAAATATTTCATCCGAATAAAAACATGATGTGCACTATTTAAAAGTGTGAATAACTAGACTAGCAACTTTTAAGATCCCTTACTTTGACATGAAAGTTAAGTAACTTTCAAGAACCTCTTTATTATGGCATGAAAGATAACTTTCATAGAAAAGTATATCCCACCTCATTTCAAGAACCACTTTATTATGGCATGAAAGATAACTTTCATAGAAAAGTATATCCCACCTCAAATCAATTTAAATCCATTCTCAATATATAGAAACTTTCACGCCATAATTTTGTAAGGCTTTATTTTTATTTTTATTTATCAATTGTTATTATAATTCTGTTTTATTCTCTTTCCATTAAAACTCTATCTATTTAATTTGTTTTTGTTTTAACTTTTTATTTTTTTAACATTTGGAGTTTAAATTATTTTTATGATTTTGTAATTATATATTTGTTGATCATGAATTATATTTCGAACTTTGTATTCATAGCAATTTTGTATAATCGTTCATCTCCTTCCCTAGGAACAATCCAAATTACATCTCAATTAAAAAAAAAAAAACACCTTCCAAAACTAGTGAAGAAACCACAACTCAACCTTTTGGAAAAGATATTAAAAGTCTCTATGGCCAAAATAATTTAACAAATCAACATTTAAAAAGTATAGGAGACCAAGTTACCAGGATAAAGCCACTTGTTTAAAAAATCAATTTTTTTTAATATATATTTGATCACACGTCATACACTATTATAGTTGTTAATAGGGAAAATAGACAGTAGAAAGAGTATCAAACTACCCTCCCTCCATAAGATACAATTAAAAAATTTAATTAAACCTTATTCAAATCATATGACACTTATCACATTATTAAAATAGATCTTTGTTTTAAATTTTAAAGTTTTGAATAAATTACACTCACTTCTTTTAAAATTTAGATAAAATACAACATTTTTGACATAATTATACTTCTTTTCAGTATAGTTAAAATGATTAAAACTAATACCAATGGTAAGTAGATACTGAAATAAAAAAAATATAACTATATATTTTAGTAGTAAATAGATGATAACATCATTTTTTTCATTTATATGACTAACGAACTACTGATGAAAAATGATCTAAGTGTTGTATAATTTAAAACCTTGAGAGGGATTAGTGTAATTATGTTAAAAGTGTGGGACTAATTGTATTAAATGTAATTTGCCAGAATTTTTTTTTATTGCTTGACACATTAGCTAATAAGAAAAAATTGTAATATTGGTTAATTTATATATAACATATTGTTTTTTTAGTCAATTGCAAACAATTTTTGGCAGTTTCTCATTTTTATTTTTATGATATTCCAGTGAAATAATAAGCTAGTTTTAAAACAATAACATTACAGACAAAGATATAAAAATTTAGAATTACTCAAAATTTTACATCACTATATTACACTAATTCAAATTTTTTTTTTTGATCGGCAAAAGAAAGCTTTATTGATGGAAAACATAACGAGTACGATAGGATACATCAATAAAGAAGAGGGTGCAAAAAGCATCACAGTGAAACATTTGGATCCCAACTAGGTTGGCACCTAAACGCACACCAAATCATCTGCTAGCACACACTCGAGGCTCTAGATGGTGAGAAACCAACAAACAGAGCGGAACAAAACAAAACAAAAACAAAAAGGCAACAAAAGCACACCACAGCTGGGTCATAAGACAGATCACCAAAGCAGTGGCTGAGCATAACATACAATAGCAGACCAGCAGCCTGTGGTGGTTGCACCAGAACTGAGCATAATCATACTAGGACCTAAAACTCTGCCATTCAATCACCATTCACCATTCAATCACCAATCAACATCCATAAACACAGCCAGATTTGAAGATGGAGAACCAAGCCAACTCAGTCCATCCCCAGCCCCCACCATCTCAGCAACCCTGCTCACCTTAACATATCAGAAACCTTCCACAGTTAGCATGTTAGCAGCCTAACAGCAAGCTCCCATTGTGATTGCATTAGTAGCTGAGCATAACATACTAGGACCTGAACCAATACCCAATAATAATGCATATTTGAACCTTGACAGACCAACATAGCACTCCACTAATTAACCTCCATAAACTCTGATTGCACCAGTAGCAGTCCAAAGACAAGGCAACAGCCCACTCACATACAGCAGATTTCATACCAACAGCTCTATGTATATCATAGCTGCAGCTACGCAGCAGAACAAAACAGATTAGCAGCTGCATGCTGGCGGCCCAGACCCAGAATTCTAACAGATTGGACTTGACTTGCAGCCTGACTCAACCAAACCAGCTTCTCATCCAGAAAACTAACTACTTGCTAACAAACTCCACAGGACATCCATACAAACCCAGAGTACAACACAAACCAGCTCAGAACAGTTAAGACCATCCTCTGATTTGACGCCAATTGAAAGTTAAATCATCAACGGAATAGGGAAGATCTTTAATAGATGCTTTCAGCCAAAGAGCTGCTCTGAATTTGATATTTTCACTTAAGCCAGAGAGACTAGGTTGAGCCTCTGCAAAGACACATTCATTCCTAAGTTTCCAAAGCGACCAAAGAACAATAAGGGGGATGGCTCTCCAAATTAGCCTATCAATGTTCTTGAACTTGACAGTCATCCACCATTGGAGGAGATCATTCATTGATCCTTGAATACACCAAGAGAACCCCCACTCATTAATTATAGACGACCAAATCAACCAAGAAAATGGGCAATGAAATAAGATATGGACAGCAGATTCAGATTAAGAACAACAAAATGGGCAGATGAGGGAAGCAGAAGCATCTAAGATGCCAATTCTGTGCATAAACACTGCTGTCTTGATTTTGTTTTTCCAGGCCAGCCAACTAAAGAATGAAACCTTAGGGGGGACAGCCCCATTCCAAATATGCTTACAGATTTTTAAGTGAGGCCCTAGAGTAGAGTTAGTAGCAGAGTAGAGAGAGGACACAGAAAATACACCAGGACTTGCAGATGCTGAAGCCCAGATAAGATGATCAGGCCTGCCAATTGACAGAGAGGGAGTTGAAGATAGTAGACCAAGTAAGTTAACTTCTTCTTCCAATTCCCAAGAGAAAAGCACTCTCCTAATAGGAAAGTTCCAATTGTTTGGGCTGGATTTTCTTGCCATGAATTGTTGTAGAGAGCCTTCTTTATCTGTTGAAAGATTAAAGAGAAGGGGAAAAGTATTCTTGAGACTAGAGCTACCACACCATCTGTCATGCCAAAATTTAATCCTACTCTCATCCCCCACTTGGATTTGGCAGTTATCTATGTAGAAATTGTAAATATTTGTGCTATGAATCCCAATAGATAAAATATCCTTCCAAACTCTAGAATGTTTGTAGGAGGACTTTAGAAGTGGATGCCAACTAGCCTCATCAATATTGTATTTGCTGCATATAGCTCTCCTCCAAAGAGAGTTTACTTGAGTTCCAAATTTCCACCACCATTTGAGCAATAGACAAGCATTCACATCTCTTATTCTTCTGATACCCAGACTAATTCAATTTCACCATACATTTACTCTACTTAGAAAAATCTGGGAAAATATATCATGATTCATGGCATTTTTGCTATTAAAATACTTCTCCCAAAACTGCTGAGGTCCTTAAAATACAAGAATATAACGGACGTGAGGACAATAATTTAGCAGAGAGATGAATACATGGTCAAAACTAACATTGAACTTGTCAAAGGATAAATATTTATTTACAATATGTAACAGTGGAATAACATTCTGTGTATCTTTGTACATCTATCTTCTTTAACCTAACAAACAAACATTTAATTGCTTATGGCCTCTTGAGATACTTGAAATCCATTGATGAATCAAAACAGTCCAACCTATCTTTGAACTGATTCAACAATTTCAACAACTCAGTAGCCTTTTCCTTAGTTTTCTCACCACAGCCAACCTGCAATACCACCAACAGCTTCTGAAAAGCACCCAACTGAAGGGCCTCAACCATCTCATTATCATCACCTCCATCTTCAACACTATTCTTGCAGATCTTCCACAGAATCGACACCGAAAACTTGGTTGCCATATCAGAAACTCTCAGTATCTTCTTCACCAACACCGGCATAGTCAGCGCGTGGTTACGAGCCTTTTCTATGCCTTTTTTCCAACTACAAATGTTATCTAAAACCGCTAAAGCCTTCTCAGATATGCTTCTTTCACCACCAACAAGAATTTCCAATACAATTGAGACCAAACCCAATTCCACAAACCTTGATGTGATCTTCTCACTCGATTTAGATGATGAGATCATGTAATAAATCACCATTAGAGAAGCTTTAGTAGATGTAGGACAAGTTTGTTCCTTAATTATCTGAACTAGGGCCTCGTTGACTCCTTCAATCTCCGCGAAATCGTTTGTGTGCCTCTGATCTGAAGAAAGTAGTTCTTTTAGGGCTAAAACTGAGTTTTGGCGAGAAGAGAGATCTTCACCCATCAAAAACCATGCCATGCAACGTAAAGATGAGGCTGAACTTAGCTTCAATTGGGCTTCTGAACTAAGTGGAAACATCCATGTCAATGCCGACAAGGTCTCTCCGAGCAAATCTTCACGTTCTTTGATTGAAAATGACGAGAAAGACTCGAATGAAGACGATAACACGAATCCAGCGCCATTCTCCGTGATGCATCGCTTGTTTCGTTCGCTCTCTCTCGCCCATGTCTTTATCTTTGACACCAATTCCAAGCATTTCTTTTGATCCCCGCGTTGAGTTGCCAATATTATCTTCGAACAAATCCCCAATACGTCGTGAGAGGTCACCGGAATTCTTGGCGTTGGTATTCTCTCAATGCCATGAGAGCGATTCTCGACACACCAATCTTGGATCATCCTCCTTATTGCGTGGTTGGGGATTTGATCGAAATTTCTCAATACTTGATTGGTGACAGGACAAGTAAAGTTCCCAGATTCAATCCACTTCTCGATACTCTCTCGATCGTATGTGATCCCGGTTGATAATGTAACCGGATCTTTCATCAGATCGAGAGAGATCGGGCATCGGAAATGGCTTGGAATGGTTAGCTCCATTTCCAAGTTGGCTTGGGAGAGATCGTTCTTGCCAGCACGGCGGCAAGCTCTTCGTTTTCTCCAAGATAAAATCATGTCTACTAGAAGAGGGAGGGAAAGAAGTAAAAGAACAATGAATATTGGTGAAAATGTTGAGATCGAAAGTTATGTTGTATCTAGCTTCTTAAGGAGGATAAGAGTGAATTTGATGGGTACGGTATATATGTGGAGATAGAATTGTGTTTATGTTTTTATGGTAAAGTTTGATGGGTTGGTCAAAGATTAAGAGAGAGAGAGAGAGAGAGAGAGAGAGTTTGAGAAGGAAACATTCAATGTGTCATAACTAGGAATGGAATGGAACATGGAACATGGAACATGGAAAGATTTAAACGTTATTTGAATGTTGACCGTTGAAGGTTTGAAATGAAGAATGAGGTTAACAAATAAAAGGGTTTAAATTAAATTAAATCCTAATAAAGAGTGAGAGTTGAGTTGAATATAGATAGAGAGAGAGATATGAGTTTAGTCGTTTTGACCAGAGGACTGAGTCACGGGTCAACCCTGGTCGGCCAGCTTTGCGGTTGTTTTTGATCGTGCTACTGCTGGTGCGGTCCTTTGTTTCTTTCACATTCAAATTTCACCAAATTTATCACGTTATTATTATTATTCTTATTATTCATATCGTCTAACAAGAAATTACCAACCATTGTATCGGATTTTTTTAGTAATTATATTTGATAGTAGTAATATCATGAATTCCTAAAATTTTAGTTGGACATTCTAATGCTTTATACATCTTATTATTAAATTTAATATTTATTCTATTATTTTAAATACAACAAATAATACACATTCTACCCTCAAAAAACCTAAATACATTCATAAGCTCTCAATTCACCCTTGAAAAAAAATAAAATCACAAAAAATTCTTGTAATATCTCACGGTCGTTCAAACTCTTAAACCAGAGGTTCCAAGCGGACAATGACTACAACAACATATCATTGACCACTACAGTCGAACCATTGGCCACCACTGTCTTTAAAAAATTAAAGTATATGAAAATACAGACCCAAACATATACATTTTGTTCATATATGAAATACTAAAAATATCAAATAATTCGGAAATACATTACCAAACAAGTGAAATTTGTTTGATATTGAATTTCCAAACAAAGTTCATAAAATCAATTTTGAAACGTCTTCTTCATTGTCTATTTTTTACTTTTATATAAAATAGAATGTGAGAATAGTGAATTTGAGGGAAGTATGGTTAAGTATGAAGACATAAGGTGAAAAGAGTAAGAGAAGAGTGAATGAAAGATTGGCACTAGTTATGAGATGGGATGCCCTAAGATACTGTAGTTTGTAATTTTTACAATTATATGTACTTTTTGGTCATTTTGAATATGAATATAATATCAATAAAAAAATTTATTAGGTTGGGATGTTCAACCAAAATTTTTGAGGTGCATTTAGAGCCTTTCCATAAATTGGTGATGACATAATATCTTGAGAAAATTACATTAATAGTCCTTATTTTTTCACTCGTATCATTTTGGCCTCTATCAAGTTAGTTTAATTGACTACAACCATTAACAATTTATTTTTTATTTTTTATTTTATAATGAAAAATGGGCACATGAATAGCATTTGTCATGCTTGTAAGGAACAATTTTAAATTTGCTCAATTAAGTGAATTAACCTAAACTATCTTAGTGACAATTTTCTATCAAAAATCTCAACTGGTGTTATTAATTGAACTAAATTAATACAAACTCTAAATATAAAAATAAAATTTGAATTAATTAAAAATATGAAAATTAAAATGATACAAGATATGAGAACTACCAATCAAGAATAAAATATGGAGATGTTGCATTTTAATATTCAAATGGTTGGATGAAAGCCATGTCAGTTGTCTTGTGAACATGGGTACCATTTGTTGATCACAGTATGAAAGCCAGAAAATCTTTCACCTTTAGTATTTCTTTGAAGGGGAAATTTCACATCAGCTACTAATTACAAATAAGTGATAAATTTATAATAATTATTAACATAAATTTGATAATATATAATAATAAGTTTTTGAAATAATCACTCATCAGTAATTTCTCCTTTTTAAATAATAAAAATGTATTTTATCATACATTTATTTTTGGGATACTTATAGGTCCTATTAACCATATTTATTTTTTCTGATTGATAAATTTATTCATTAATATCCACAATCTGTATTCATATTTATTAGGATTGGGTATAGGGTTATTCAAACCACCCAACAAACCCAACCCGAACTAATTCGCATATAAATGGGCGATTTCGCAGATACAATGTGAGCGGATGTAGTTTGGAATATGACATTATTAGGGTTGTGGGTTTTATCCGCACTTAAGACTCTTTTATTTTTTATTTTAAACTTGGACCGTTGATTTTGATGAGATAATAGCCACACAAGCCGAACAAACAGATAAGGCTCAAGCATTGTAATTAGATATTAAGCTCAGTTTAGTTGTATCAAGTCTGTTACAACTGTTTTCAGTTACATAGTTAGATATAGTATAGCTACATAACAAACTCTAAGATTGTATAAATAGGAAACTCTGTACTGAAGATCTATTATCAAAAGATATTTTCATTTCTGATACAAATTCTTCATGGTATCAGAGCTTGTTAACTCCAACGAGTCAAGCTTCTTCAAGATCCTTAAATGAAGTCTGTCACTGCAACAAAAAACACATTTGGTGACCCAAAAAATTGTCGCCAAAAGTACAAATTCCGTTGCCAAAAGAATCGGCGACAAATATACAACTTGTCGCCAAAGGCCTGTCACTAAAAGTATTGGCGACGAAATTAGTAATTGTCACCGTATGTAGACATTTAGCGACAAGCAAAATTGGTCGCCAAAAATCATATATTTTGTCGCTATAAAATTACAATTTGTTGCTAAAAGGTTAAAATTTGGATAGGCTATGTAGTTTTAGCGACAAATAAATGCGTCGCCAAAAGTACTATTTAACGACAAAATTAATTTGGTTGCTAAAAATCACGTTTTTAGCGACGAGTAAGTTTTGGTTGCTAAAAGTTCTTGGAATAACCACTAACTTTTAGCGCAAAAACAATATGTTGTCGCCAAATATATTAACAGCGACCAAAATACCACCTGTCACTAAAAATTCAGTACACAAATTTTGATTTTAATAATTTTCCTGTTCAAAATAATCCAAAACACCTGTTTTCCTGTGCACAATATATACACAAATGTAATGTTAATAATAATACACCTGTGCAAGACATTCATACTAATTCAAAATTAATAGTTATAAAAAATCCCAATAAACATAATTACAATTCTCTGACAATCTAAAACATGCATACCAAAGTACTTACAAACTACTAATATCAAACCCATAAATACATTACCAAATCCTATGTCAAAATATTTTCAAAAACACAAAATCAAATCTTCTGATGCAGCCCAAACTATTTTCCACCATTGCCAATCTGTCAGATGAAAAAAGAAAAAACAATATTAGATTGACAAAAAAAAAAAAAGCCCAAACTATTTTCCACCATTGCTAATCTGTCACATGAAAAAAGAAAAAACAATATTAGATTGACAAAAAAAAAAACTCGATATGAACTTCACAATTTTGATTTTAATTTTGTAACGGGAAGTCTAATCGGGTGCTGTTTGCTCATACAACTCTATTTAGGCTTGAACAAGCTACCTGTGCCAAGTTTCGGTAGTTTCAGTGGTCATTTTGCAATTTTGGCTCTCGAACGGGCCTTTTAAGTCTTGTGTTTTACATTTTTTTCTTCTAATTTTCTAACCGGAAATCCAATTGAGGTCTCGTTTGTTCCTATAGGTCTACTTAGGCTTTAACAAGCTGTCCGTGCCAAGTTTCGGTGGTTTCGGTAGTCATTTCAAAATTTCGGCCTCCGAACGGGCCTTTTAAGTTTTGTGTTTTACATTTGTCCTTCTAATTTTTTAACCAGAAATTCAATCGAGGTCTCGTTTGTTCCTATAAGTCTATTTAGGCTTGAAAAATCCGTCCATGCCAAGTTTTGGTGGTTTCGGTGGTCATTAAGCAATTTCGGCTCCCGAACGGGCCTTTTAAGTCTTGTGTTTTACAATTTTCCTCCTAATTTTCTAACCGGATATCCAATCACAACTAGGGAGACTCATAGTATGATCCAACCACTTCTTCTGTGTTTCAATTTTTAAAACCATGACATTGATTTTTCAGAGCCATGAGCCATGGATATAAGTCAATCAATTATGATGAGAAATGGTAAAGATAATAGTAAATACTACTATTGTATTGACATACTGGCAATTTCAGAAGCTTGGTTCTCTGTCAACTTGGCTGTAAAGCCTCTGAAACCATGTCTGTAACTGTAGACATGAGATGCCCTGGCTTGTTCAACACTGTGTCACCAATTGACTGATTCAATCAGCACAACCAAACAATCCTCAATAAGAACAAGAAGAGGAACACAACAATAACATCAAACCACAAAAAAAAAAAAAAAGTGTGTGAAATCATGGTGGTGTACGGTTGAAAAAAAGAAAAGAAAGAGAAAAAAGGAACATTGGGTGGACCTTCCACCATGAAAATTAGTGAGGAATTGGTAGTTCTGCATCAAAATCTCATCTTGGTCATGACCATCTCTGTTTCCCATATAGACCACATAGACCTGCACACAAGACAAAGCTTGACCCAATAACATAAATACGAAAACAAAAAAACAAAAACAAAGAAGTTGAGTGAAAATATCATATCTATATCCACACCTTAGCAGAATAACAGAGGCCAACTTGGGAAAGGAAAGCACAAAGGAAAAGAAAAGGAATACCAATATTAGTAATAGTGGTGTTTCTGGATGAAGCCATTCCAAGTACTGAAATGATTCTTCTTCAGTTGGAGTGGAACTTGCAAAAGCTGAATTATATCAATTGGTTTCAATGGTTGACAATTGATGCCTGAGTTCTTCGTTATCGGTACAAAAAGATATTAGTTGCTCGAGCTCAAAATATTCGGAAAATAATCCAATGGGAGGCACAGGATGTTCACTAGAAAGCTCCTTCACATCAT